TTACATTTGTAACGGTTGATTTGGCAACTTTTAGCGATTTTGCCAACTTTGCGTGCGAGTAGCTCGGATTTTCACGATGCGCGAGCAAAATTTTGATACGCTGCTCTTCTTGCTTGGACGGCATTTTGACAACTGAAGAGTGAATTCCAAAATCAAAATAGGAGCAACATTCTACACACACACACCTTCAAAATGAGGGGTGTTCAGGTTTTTTAAATGCAAAATTGAAAGAAATACGTCAAGTTGATATTGACCAAATTTTGACCGTATCACCCTTTATAGGGCTCATAAGCTATTTATTTTAGCTAAGAGTTGACATAGCAAGCATGTTAATTACTTGAAAATGAATTTGATGTTGTACGTATTTGTCAAAGTATCAAGGATGGATCATGGAATCTTATGTCTCTACCCTTAATTCATGCGAATGAAATTTTACGTGAGGTCACTTTTATGGAGGCATCAAGGTCATACCTAGGTATCGCCATGGATTTATAGCGACTGTATTTTGATCTTTGATTATTGGGCTAGAGCTTATGTAAAAGTCATTGCCTACGAACGAGTGATATACCTATGAGTTACAGCTTGGACTCATAAGTATATCACTCGTAAATACTGAAGTAACATGCAAAAAGATGTTGGCATTGCTGCTGTGTGGATTTTTTCGCAACTTGTTATGGACAGAGCCCGTGTGATGCTTTGGAAGGAGTATTGAAACGAAACGCTTCTAAATTTCAAAGCCTTAAAAAAAGTATACAAGGGGGAAGGTAGGATCTACAATGTCTATAACTTGGCCTACGTGGTTTATGGACAGCTCTCAGGCTGAACTGAATGTGGCACCCAGCTTGTAATTTACTCATAGATGTCATTAGTCACACCTGCTGTGACTCGATGGAGATGCATTGTGAACTACCTTGCGTCTTCATCGTTTCCATGCACGTGTGATGTATGTATTGCAATGATTTTTTATTTGAAAAAAATATCCAAAATGACTTCTCCGACGTCGCTAATTTTTTGATATGTAATGTAAAATTAAATGATCTTTCAATTAAAAATACTAAAATAAGAAGTTGTTGAAGACCCTTGCAGTGAAAATCAAGAAAAAGCATTTGTAACGTATTTTTTTCATACAAAATCAAATATCTCTGAGTTTTACATAATTTTCCTTAAAATTAAATTAAAACATCTTTCATTAGAAGGGTCAATCGTAAAAAATTAGTCAAAAGGTTCAGAAGTTATGATTTTTTTTAAACATTTAAAAAGAAAGATTTTTTTGACCACTTTAACACGAAAATAGTCACCCTGATGGCGAAATAAAAAATGTAAATCAAATATTTTTGATAAGAAGGCATTCTAAGACTCACTATAACTATTATTATTACCAAAATAATCAAAATTAAAATTATTACCAAAATAATCATAACTCTTTCAAATAATCATTAAACTTTATTTCTGGATCTACTGATCCTCGTACTGATGCAATTTGTTCTTTCTAAGGCTCATATTGTAGCATGATAATGTGGCTTCCAAACAAACATGATATATCTGATTCATAGATTTGGGAGGAGCCATGGTTTTTAAAGTGTCCTTATATCAATTTCCACTGGTGTGTATATATCAATCTAAATCTGAAAGTGAATATCACATCAGAAAGTACATGTAGTAGGCATAGTTAAAAATCAGTTGAATTGCTTAGTTGAAAAGCTTATTTCCGATAGGGGACCTCAAAGTTAACTTCTCGTGGAATGTGTAAGTAGTGCTTTTAGGATTTTGGTTGCCTCTGGGTTTTCGGATGATTCGAAAACCAGCAGCAAGCGGAAAAAAACGGAGGACTAGGACGGTCAGCGGCCCATACATCGGTAAAGTCATTGCTGCTCTTCTGTTTCTGCTGCTTACAAAATGACTAGCCAGCGATTTGGACCATGCCAGATCGATGAGATCATTCCACATTTTATGTTATTTTGCGGACAATTTCAATTTATATTTCACAACAAGCTGTGTGCAGGGTTCTAGACATTGCTGGTGTGTATGCAAATCCTTTGATAATGCAGACATGATTTCATCCATATTGCCATATAATTGAAGACACCAACTTCACACACAGATATTCAACACACACAAACACACAGGTGCGGCATTTTTAAATGAGACCGAGGGAGGCTGGTCAACTGTTTCATTTTGCCGGGACTCTTGTGCATGATATGAAGTAACGTCATGTCTTATCATGCATAGAAGCACCTGGAGGGGGATGAGGGAGTGGACTGCTTGCAAGCCCAAAATGTATTACATTGAATGTTAGTTGCATTTTCTATCATCCTCCGCAGCGAATGATATAAGTTGACCTTGCACTGGTTTTTTTTTTATCTTTTTATTTCGTTTTACGTCTACACTTTTGACTACACTAGCAAGCATTTACCATGCTTTTTATTTATAAAATTGTAGAACGACACACACACTTGCCACTATTCTCACCTATTCCCGTTCAACAGAAAAAAAAATACCAAATCGAGTTATCGTCCTAGGAGAGCTTCTTATTTGCTTTTAGCCTATCCATGTTTCGAAGCATGGAAAGAACAGTGAAGAAAGCACAGATCTGATAATCGCAACATTCGTGATTCGAGTCCAGACGGCAACCTTTATTCGACATCAGGGTTGCTTCCACTCACTTGCTATAAAAAATGGTTTTATGGATCTTGAAACCATTAGATGTTATAGTGAAAATTTCTACTTGTTAGATACAAGAAGAGGTTTAAACACATAAAACTAGCCAAATTCGCTTTCAGATAGCCACAATCAGCGATTTTACGACACTGAGTGAACGCTCACGAATCATAAAATCGCTGATTTTGTAACACTCTGGAAGCGAAATTGACAGTTTATATGTGACAAACACTTTCAACCTGTTATTGTATCTAAAAAGTAGAAATTTTCATTATGCCATCTAATGATTTCAAAATTCAGAAAATCATCTTTTATAGCAAGTTAGTGGAAGCAAGCCTGTTCGACATGATTCATTTCACTCACTTATACACTCCACATTTTTTAGTCTCAATTTTCTTGCATGGGACCACTGCACGGTATATCTCATCCTCCGTTTATGTGGTCTCCACTAACATCCTAACAAACCATAAGGCACAGAGGGCTAGGATAATAGTACGTGCTCATATCTGAACATATATCAATTAGACAAGAAAGAAAATAGAGCATCACATAACAGTTTTAGACTAGTAGTTGCTCCCAACGGCAAACTATTTATAAATTAAATAATATTGAAACGGACGGTATGAGATGTCCACGTTTAATCCATATATTGAAACCTAAAGAATCGTGTTTAAATTTTTAAATATCAGGACTGAATGGGAAAATCCGTAAAGGCTGGTAAGCCATCATAATGAAGTAATTAAATTGAGTTGTTATCGGAATGCTTAAATAAAACAGCAAAAATGCTTGTATTCCATTTAATTCCACTTAATGTATTTTGGTATCCATGACAGATACGTATTTCAACTACAATGTGCAGCCTTCATCAGTGATATTCCCACTGATTTTTATGAATCATCGTGCCCCTTAAATGCCGCACAGGTCCACAGGTCGTTTTGATATGTGTTGTGCATCTCTGAAGTGTAACGTATAACAAATAGACTAGAAAGCTTGTGGATGGATGGTATACCCATGATTTCCAGGATGCTTTCAAGAACTGTTTGATTAGAATGACTTTAGGGTAGGATGGTGAAAAACGCACCGTTTAAGCAAAATCGTCAATTTCTGGCGCATGGATGATAAAATCAAGAAGAAAGTAATGGTGTATGGTGCATTACCATTTTTTTTCTACAAAAACCAAGTGATTTAGAACTACAAAACGATGAATTTTCATAATTTCCATTTTATAAATTGGTTCCAAAATGATAGCGGAGCAAAACGCCTGATTCATGGTGCAATATTCACCACAACAAACACAATCCGTTACCCGGAAAATGCATCTGAGGAAAAGTTTTTCTATAAGAGAGCATTTTACCCCAGGGGTACATTATGGGCTGTACAAAGGGAGGTGGGAGCGGTAATAAATATGTAAAAAAAATTGTTTAAGTAGTTTATGGACAGTCCACGCCTATTCGGCCCCTCCTTTGGCTGCACCCAAGATGTGCAAGTTTGCTATAACAAACAAGTAATTTGCTATTTTAGCTGATTTTCCATATATGCGATTATTCAGCTTTTAATGTTTGTTGAGATACTTACTATTAAAATCAAATTTATGCATTGGTATTATTGCTATTGAACCGTTTGCATTAATTTTTTTTTTGTTAACGCACTCCAACTTCGAAATCACGAGTCAAAAGAAAATCCATTCAGTGATGAATTATTGTTTTCATTAAAACTGGTGGCACAACAGCGTTCATATAGGCCAAGTGATATTCAACAGGTTTCATTTTGCCATTGCAAACAACATTAAAATCATAAATCTTGCACAATCCACAATGTGCATTATTTGCATCGTACAAAAGGCCAGATCTAAGGGGCAATATTTTCAATCAACAAGCAATCTAACATATCCCTGATGAAATATGTGCACAATTTTCAATTTCCTAATGGCATCTGAAAGAACTACTAATGCACAAAAAAAAAAGAAAAGAAAATAGACGATATCCTTGTGCGAGAAATATGGTGTGGTCTCATCCCGGAAAACGCAAAATAGCCTCTATCCACATGGCATTCCCCTTCCAGCATCATTCAGTCATTCGTATTCAAGACCAACTTGATTCAGTGCATAGCTTGAATATTGAAACACTCTGTGCACGAAGCAGTTAATAAAAATGCCATTCTGCACATCTATAACGCTGCTGCTGCTCAGCTGAGCACTGAAGACATATCAAATGCAAGGCCTGGGCAAGGCCGGTCAGCCGACTCGAATCTCGAGAGGCAAAAGCCATAGAGTCGAGACGAGTCGGACAATTTTTCATGATAATATTTTCATATTTCCGTTTCCTTTCCGTTTTCTCACACAGAACTTATGATGGCGTCGTTCAGCTGCGAAGAGCCTACAATAGCTGAGAAGGAACTCTATGATGTTACATAGCACCAATGTAGCCCCCACCACTACTACTACCACTACTACAACCACTGCTGCTGCTGTTGGATTGGCCTGATGGCGATCGAGCCCATAATGGACAATTATTTGCATACGCAGATGGAGAATGCTACTCCCAAAACCAATAACACTGCAGATGGCATCCTAGGAATTTGTCCTCTGGTTGTGACGGCAGCAATTCTACTGAACTTGTTGACCCTACTTAGTGCACGCCACCACCAGCATTGGCCGGAATGCCTCCGAGCAAAAATTGATTGGAGGAGCAATTTTAATATCCCAATATTATAATACCAGCAGAGTAGGAAGCAACTTCCCGATGAAACCCTACAATGATGACAACAACAACGGTAGGAACGAAGGAGAGAAAGAAAATAAATCAACACTAGACATTTTTATGCTGTAATAAATTCAATGAAATGTATGTGATTAGCTTACAACAATAATATAAACTAGGTAAATCAAACGATGTTTCCTGTGGCGGAAATTGAATTTCCTTGTCGAAGTGATTGAAACGAATATTAGAATCAATTTTCCTATCCTCCCAGGGCACATGGTAAAATATTGATTTATTTCTCCTATTGTTTTGGTTTTAAAATGTATCCTATTGTTCTAGGAAAACTTCAACGACCAGTGTAAATAGTGCATATTAGTAGCGAAAAAAATCGGTGATTGATTGAAACGAATAAATAAATGAACAAAGATAAAGGGTAGCTGTGATTAGTTTGCTTTTTACGATTGATGACCTTTAGGAAAGCAAAGAGGATTGAAATTGTCTGCTGCTGAATTCCTAATATGAACATTCCTATGAAGTATTCCTATGGACGTAGAACTACGCAAAATTGATGCATTTTTGATTCTTATGCTTTATCTTAAATTTTTCAAGTATTTCAATGTTTCGGTAATGGTTCAAAACTCGCGGCAATTAATGTTAGCTAAATCAGACCACCGTTCATCTTACGCATGAGATAATGTATTTAAATTTAATGTAATGGTTAAGAATTCACAGAATTTCTCCTACATAACTACCTTGGGTTAATCAATGTTGAGCTTTTTTGCTGTGGTCAATGTGCACTAAATTCGACATCGACATCGACAACAAAAGGAACTGACACTATTTCGTCACACATTTTTTGTTTATTTGCACTCAGTATAGTACACAAAAACGCCATGCATGTTGTGGGATAAAACAATTCGCAAAAACTACGTTTTTATTTCAGCAGCTCCATCATAGTTTTAAATTAGGTCTCTGAAGCAGAGAAGAGGGTGAAGGTTGCATTTTATGAAAACGATGACGGTACTTTAAATATTGACCAAAACGTTGGTTCATATGTGAGCGAAGTAGGGGAGAAAGGGGTATAACGATCATATGGGGTTTAAGCACCTCTTTGTTCTCCAATTTGGAGGACAACCCTAACATAAAATTATCATGCATCATCTTTATGTACTTTACAGCGTGTTTGTAGAATGATGCAAAATAGAATATGTACTGTGACTTTTCTCAAATCAAACGTTTGGTTTCCAATAAGTAGGTGCTTAGTACAACATTAATTGAAAATTAGGGGGATTCAGTTGTTGAATCTCAAAGTCAGATCAAAAGCTCGTATACAGGTTCTCCTGTTTAATGTTTTGAGAGTAAACATCATAGGGTAAATGTTGGCTTCGGCACCCATTGACTGTTTTCGGCAACCAAAATTTAAACGATAATTTCACTATGTTTTCCCATCAACACACTTCCCTGAATGTATTCAAACGATTTTTTAGTCTTTCAGCTTCAATCTGATTATATTTGTACGACCGAGCAATCCTATTATGCCAGATTTTTCTTCAAATGAAGTATACGCACTACAAAATGGGGCTGATTTCGAGTTGCCGATAATAGAACAGCTGGTTAACACGCAGTTCTAATGGGAAGGTTGCCGAAGAAAAAGAGGATGCCGACAATAGTCACACTCAGAAGTTTGGAGCGTTGTAAAATCGCTTTCAAACCGGTTTGAAAAATTCTGTCGATTGGAATGGATAGAGAAGCAAGCAGCAGATGAATGTTAACAAACAGACACGTGATATATGTGCGTAACGCTGACAAAATGCTAATAGAAGTGCGGACGCTGCTTAGATTGACGAGAATACGTAAATTCCCCTAGTTAAGGTACACCGGTCGGTGCAAGTAGAAACAGTACATACGTGTATCTCTTTGGAAGTGAATATTCACTGTAATTATTTTTGAGATGCACTGAGTGGCGCAATCTACTATATTAGAAATATTCTCAGTGCTTATTGACTTCCGCTAAGTTTTGCATAAATATTTTTTCCGCGTTTCGTATTAGAGACTGTTCGATAACTACGTAGACAGTTTTTTGGAATTCTTGCACCCTCCCTCCCCCTGCAGAGAATTGTTCTTTCATTTTTTTAAAATTTGTATGGGCCGTGGATAATTGCAACCCCCCTCCGAGAGTTTTTCAAGTGAAGCGTGAAAAAAAGAAAAAAGTGTGCTTCGGTCACTTCGCCAATGACAGTGTAAAATCATCGGACATTTCCGTAAAATGTCTAGATACCAGCGAAAACGAAGCGGGGCAAAGTGACAGTAATAGCGACGTGCAGCAAATTAATTCTACAGGCGCGGAGTACGCTACGGTGACCTGTTACGTCGGTGGAGTGAAGTTAAAATAGGTTGTTGATTCCGGAGCACATGTGAATGTCATCAGTCTTGAGACATGGCGGTACTTGAAGTGTCAAGGTTGCAAAGTGAGCAGCAGCTGCGAGGGTCGGAAGTTTATGGAAATGGCAAACTGAAAGTGCACACAATCTTCAAAACTGACATCAGTACCCGTTTGAAAACAGTTCATCACGAAGTGTACGTCATCGATAACAAGAAAGGAGCCAAGCTCCTCAGCAAGCAGACGTCGATGGATCTGGAGATATTGAAGATTGAAGGCGAAGCATTCAGTGTGTCGAAGAAAGAAGAACCACCATTCGGAAAAGTGAAAGACTTGAAGGTAGACGTTAAAATCGATGAAAGCGTAGTTCCGGAGTGATTTGAGATTTCGGCGTAATTTTATTTGTAAACAAACACGTCAATTGCCAGTTTCTCTTGAATAAAAGCTCAATCCCATAAGCAAAATATACCAAATGATAGAGGAATCATTCCTCTACCTCATAGTGTTATAAGTTTGAGCGTTTATTCGCGAGAAATCGGCAGTTGACGTGTTTGTTTACAAATGCAATTACGCCCAAATCTCGCACCTACTGACACCTTTGCAAGACCTCGTCAAGAGTAAGCTGCAAGACCTACTTAAGCAAGACATCATCGAGCCGGCACCACTCAATATTACATGGGCTTCACCGTTGTGACTCCCAAGGAGTGTTCGTCTCTGTGTAGACATGCGTCGTGCTAATGAGGCGATAATTCCTGAACGTCATCCTCTGCCAACCTTCGATGAAATCATGCTGCATTTAGATGGATGTATTTTTTCCAGCAAAATAGAGGTTGCACAGACTGAATACTTAACACTAGACAACGGACAACACACAACACCCAGTAGACCAGTAGGGAAATTTCCGGGATGTGAAAAGTTCCACCGGCTGCTGGAGCGGGAATCGAACCCTCACTTCGTGGCACTCACAAAACGCCTGAACGACGGGTGACGCCGCTAGCCGCACGACCACGAAGTCCCCCCAGATCTGGTTAATGGGGTGCTTACATCTCTGCGGATTTGCTAGTGCTAGTATACTAGCCAACTAGCACGAATTACAGTTGCTCCTGAAATCTCATGCTGGTGGACGCTGCTGCCCAGTTTACATTATGCTGGTGAGCTTGCTTTGCTAGCAGCTGGCTCATTAGCGGCAGTGAAAAGCATAAGTGTAAACACCCCATAAAGCGTTTCACCAGATTGAGCTGGCACCATTGTTACTCCATCTGCTTACTACGGATATAAGAGGCTAATTTCGGCATGAACTACGCCGGAGAAATTTTCCAGCGAGAGATTGAATGGATACTAAAGGGGCTGAAAGGAATAAAGGTGTTCATCGACGACATTCTGGTGTATGCAGAAACCAAGAAGGGTTACGATCAACGAGTGCAAGCAGTGTTACATCGATTGGAAAAACATGGACAAAAGCGAGATTGGAAAGACGACAGTCAACTTTATGGGCCACATCCTGTTACGAAACGGGATTTTACCAATGAACGACAAAGTAAGTGCCACCCAAGCTTTTCGAAGACCACAGAATGCCACCGAAATGCGAAACTTCCTCGGGCTGGTGAATTATGTTGGTAATTTTATACCTAATCTCTCTAGCATATCCGCCCCCTACGTTAGATGGCAGTGAAAGAAGAACAGTTTACCTGGACGAAGGAGGGGAAACGATCATTCGACAAGATCAAAGCTGCTCTTATCGACCCTGAGCACCTTGGATACTATAGCCCCAAGAATCCGACTACTTTGGTCATGGACGCGAGCGATAACGGCATTGGAGCTGTTTTTTTGCAAAACGTCCATGGCAAGCCAAGAGTTATAGGCTACACTAGAAAAAAATTGACCAAGACGGAGAAAAAGTACTCGATGCTGGACAAGGAAGCCCTTGCGATCGCTTGGGCAACAGACAGATTCCTGATGTATCTGACGGGCTTGAATTTCACCGTATTGACTGATCAGAAGCAATTGAAATTATCCAAAGTTCGTAGGATGATAAGGAGATCCGAAAAGTGAAAACAGCTTTGTACGATGGAAAATGGGCAAATGGCGTCAAGAAATATGCACCGTTTAAGAACGAGAATAGGATTGTCGTTCCACGGGAGCTACGAGATCGTCTTGACCCTGGCGCACGACGGTCATCCTGGTCGTGAAAATATGAAGACAAAATTGATACAGAAAACAAAATATTCCATGTGGATGATGGTTTCAAGCACCTGCGATGGATAAATTAATCAGAAAAGATAAAAAAATATTTTCCTTTTCCACTGGCTTCATGGCGAAAATGTCAGCCCTCATCGCTCTTTTGATGGTTCCCCTATTCACCACTAGAGGCTGAAACGATCGCTTAGTTTCTACTGGATGCGCCTATATATTCCACATAAAGTTGATCGATGTTACCAAACCATCTATGAACCTTACCGACTACCATAACCATTACCATTAAAGTTCTTAAATCATAAATAAAATGATTTCAATATAATTTCTTCCCCTACCCGACGGTGATATTGGTTTGCTTGAGCGTGCCTTTAATTCCTAGAGATCATCGAGAGAAGTTATTGTTTACAAAAGCTGTTACGCCCTTATTCCAGCTCTATCTAGCATTGATTAAAGTTACGTTCTCCTGTACGCGCGTGTTTTATTTGCAATCGTGACAGAATGAAATGTTAATTAACAGTACTGCATGAATCTCGTGATTTTGGCAGGAGTATCACCTCTCTATAATCGTTTCTGGGAGCTCTCTCTCTCTCGCAGAATACTAATCAAATGCGAAGTGGCGAACACACTTATAATTGCATTTTTTTTTAGAAATTCATGGGCTGAACACACAATTTTGATTTATGAGAATCTACCACCCCTACATATCCTCCGAAATGTGTATTCTTTGGTGTATTCCAGACCGTGCTCACTTCACCATTGTCAGTTCCTCAATTGAATATGATCTGAACATGAAACAAGCGATT